CTAACGTTGTCAACACTTTCAACTGCTGGTCCTTTCTGACGTGGGGTGGAAACTGGTTTTGAGAAGGGAGGCTGGCAAAAGACAGCAGCTGGGGATCTAACAAGCTAGGATGGGACTCAAGGTCCCTACCTACTCTACCCAGGTGTGGACTCCCTTCAAGTGGCTCACATAAATGGCTTTCTTCATCTCCCGCTGGTGCCTGGTCCTGGCCCCTTTCCATCCTACTTCCTAAGGCTTGGGGGAACAGGAGAGGCACAGACAAAGTTTGGGTGGAAGAAACGGGGCAAGGGAAGAAAAGGCCATGGATCACAACTCTAGTTTCTAGGCATCTGGGGGCTTTCATAGCTACCCTGATAATAGCAAATCCCCCTTTCCTAGTTGTGGAACCTGATGCTCAGAGAGGGCAAGTGGTTCTTTCAGGGTCGTCCAGCTAAAGCTGGACTTCATGGATGAGGATGAGAAACTGTTCTGGGTGGGGCTCAGGGGCCCTTTGATAAATGAAAGACCCCATGCAATAGGCTGGGTCCTTGAGAGGCACAGGCAAGTTGGGGTGAGCTTGGCCAAAGCCCCTTGTGGGTCCCATTCCCCTCTCCCATCCAGCTCTACCCCTGCCCCAATAGGAGAGGGAGGGGGAGGGCCTCTTGGGGCTATGCCAGGAATGCAACCACACCAGGGCCTTGAAGGGAAAAGGGCAGCCTGCCACCCAGAAGGGTGGAAGCATGTGTGGAAGGGGGGCCACTCTGCTCCCCTCCTCTAATGTCCAGGTCCTCCTCCTCCTGGCAGCAGGGGGCCAGGTGCACTCCTTCTAGGGGCATCACCAACCTGGGAGCAGGAAGTTGGGAATCTGCTCTCCTCGGATGGGGCAAACACGAGGGAAGGGGCAGGTGCTCTTACCAGCAGCTACTCCCACCACCACTGCCATTAGCCAAGGCAATTGTTTCAAGAAATGTCCACCCAAACCCCAGAGCTCACAGCTCTGAGCCAGTTTTCTGAGCCAGGGAGGTGGGGGACCAGGAGGGAATAGGGAGAGGGGGGAGGGGAGAAAGGGCCAGAAACTCGACAGGAATTCCAGCCACTGTTTCTACGTCCAGTCTGACCCCTGACATCAGACTTCATGTCCATTCTCTCTCATCAGCTATGATTTTGAGAGTTAGGGTCTGTGACGTCCTCCCTGTACAGACAGGAGGCAGAGGCCAGTGGTTCAGCCATTGGTGTGTGTGGTAGGTGGGCCCTGCACCTGAGCCCCGCCAGCTCCCAGCTGAAGGGCTTAGCCACGGCACAAGGAGGCTTCCTATCAGTTGCTCAGGACGCCCGGCTGTGAACTTCCCAGCGCACAGGCTGCGAGGGACCTGCAGGGGTATCTAGTGGGAAGTCTGGTGCAGAGGCCCATGGGGGCGCTTGGTGTCCTTGCAGGGGTGGCTGCAGGCCTGTCGTGTGTCGTGTAGCTAGAAGCTCACAACTGGACACATTTCTGTCTACAGAGGTGCGCTGGACCACCTGCTTGTCCCGTTCCCCGTGCCCTATGGCCCTCCCCACACCCCTATGACTTTAGCTTCCCTTCTGCAAGGGCCAAGGGCCACGTGAGAGGACAGACAGCAGGGGTGTGGGTGCTGAGGCTCAGTGAGAGAGGAAGATGGACTGCACCATGGCGCCAGCCAGTGTGACCTCAGCCCTTGGCCTCATCCTAAGGAGAGAGGGATCTGTGCATTACTGTGGGTAGCTAGACCCTCCATAACCCTACTCTGAGTGCTGGGGGTAAGCAAAGCCAGCACCCAAAGCATCTAGGCAGACCCATGCCCAGAGGTGGGCTGTCTAAGGGGCTCTTGTGCTGACCCTGGCACTACCTCCCCAAGTTCTCCATGACTTATCTGAAGGCCCCCAAAGGGTAAAACCCCATCATCAAAGCCACCATCTTTGCCAGACCCTGAAGATCCTGGGAGCAGCCCCTAATGCAGAGGGGTGTGTGTGTGTGTGTGTGTGTGTGTGTGTGTGTGTGTGTGTGCATGTGCTTGTAGGTGTGTGTACGTAAGGGACAGGGAGTAGGAAAGCAGACTGGTGCATTTTGCTTTGTGACAGAGCTGGCCAGATGATTATACCTGTCTCTTAAGAGGAGAGAGGGGGCCCATACATCCCTGGCAGTTTCCCTCCAGGAGCTGGAGGGACAGGGTTCTGCTGGAGTCTGGCTTAGCCTGAGGCAGGGCCAGGAGACACCTCCCTGTGCCTGCTCAGTTTCCTCCCACCCTTCAGCCCATTGCAGCTCTCAGGGTCTTGTTCTTGGCAGCATCAGGGTGGAGTGTCCCGGACAGGCAGAGGGGCAGGCAAAAGGGCAGAGCAGGGAGAGGGTGCCATGCTAAGGAAGTCCACAGAGTGACTTTGACTTTGGGCAGGAGACTTAGCTCTCCTTAGTCAAATCAAGATCATTCTAAGCCTTATCTCTTGTTGTTGGAAGATTACATCAGAGGGTAGAAAATATAGTTCAAGTGCATTGCCAGCAGTGTCTGGCACGGGCAGGAGCGCAATCAAAGGAGTGTTCTTCGGTGCTGATCCCACTGCCCAGGGCATCAAATCACACCAGTTCTATAAGGTTTGAAAAAGGCAAGACCCAAGGTAGTGAGGGGGGAAGAGAAGGCTGCCAGAGGTGAGCTCTGTGAAGGACACAGAGAAATGGTGACAAGAAGGACAAAGGGCACAGGCAGGCCCAGAAGCCAGGGGCAGAGTGGCAGCTCTGGCCATCCCTACTGGATGGAACCTGGAAACAGGGAGAAAATGTGGGGTGTAATGTGGGGTGTTGGGTCACAGCTGGGTTTCTTGTCTCACACAGAAGCCTGGTCCTGACTGACAAGGGGATGATCAGGATGGCTTAGACATTGTTCTAGTAAAATTCTATGCAGAGCCTGGAAATCAGACTACAACCCATCTCTGAGCAGGGCAGGGCATCCAGAGCGGGCTTCCTGGCCCTCTTTTCAGAACCTTCTACCCTCTGGCCCAGCACCCCACTTCAGTGTTCCCTCATTCTTCCCAGCCGACCTGGGGGGCTTTATCCCCTTGCCTCAAGCAGTGACAGAGCTGGGGTCAACTTTGAACCTGAAATCCAGGGAGACCATGGGAGGTTTCTTCCCCAGAGTAGGGCTGGCAAACCACCCCCACTTTCTGCTCCCCTCAGCCTCAGACCACAGCCCCAATTCCCTCCAAGACAATTCTTTCCTGCCACTCCGCCCAGTCAGCTGCCTGTATTGATCTACCCTGGGCAGGTCTCTCTTTAAAATATTTCTTCTTGAGCCTTCCCAGTGGTGCAGCTTGAGCGCTGGGCTGCAAAGCTGCCCGCAGCCTCTGCAGCGCCAGTTCAATCCCCGGCTGGTGGCGAGGGTCCCACATGGCGCACAGACCTCTCCTGCCGCCCGCTGCTCCCCTCAGCAGTGTACTTTGGTCCTTCAGCCTGTTCTGCTCCCTGCTCTGGCTCTGGTGAATTCTCTCACCCTCCCGCGCTTCTGACTGTACCCAGTGCTTGTGTAAATAAATAAATAAATCTTAAAAAAAAAACTTCTTTCTAATATTCAAGCCTGCAGATGCTGGCCCCAAGGACTGCTCTTCTCTGCACCCCCAGTGCCATCCTCTGGCTGCTGAGCCCTGAACCCTCCGCAGACTGCTCACTCTCAGGTTCTGCTCCTATCCCCATCCCCTCCCTCTGCTGCTCCTCCCTTTTCAGGGCAAGGTGTTTGTCCCCTTCAGGCAGGCCATCTCCCCCCACCCTGCCCCCACGTAGAACAAGCCCAAGTCTCCAAAGCTTCCAAAGAAGTCCACCGTTTATACCACGATCCCTCAACCCAGACCCCTCCCCAGTGCACTGAGCAAACATGGCCAAGTCCAGGGTGACGGTCAGGACACTAGGTCAGGACCCCAACTTCTAGGGAGCCCTCTGGGAAGCACACTCTGTAGCCGGTGGAGGCCATTCCCTCACTGGCCTTCTACTTTCCTTTGGTGACTGGCCTCTCTGCAGGGGATGGGGTATGGAGCAATTTGTCCTGGCCTCTCTACTCAAGCTGCCAAGGCTGCAGGCTGATGGGTTCCCCAGAGGCAGTAGCTGATGCCATTTGCATATTCCTGGGGTCAGGCCTCAGGACTCCCAGGCACTGGGGCCCAGGAAACAGACTTCATGGACAGCCGCTCTCCCCATGACTTATGTTCCTTGAGTGTGTTCTGGCCTCTCCCCAGGGTGCCAGAACTATGTGTGTCCTCCCCACCAGGCTCTGAGCTCCCTGAGGGTGGGGACTTGTCCCATTGATCTCTTTTTCCTGGTGTCCAGCAAGGTCAGGGGACATTCAGGGATGCACATATTCATGTCAATTCCAAGGGACAACGGCGACATGCCATCAGGATGGTCCCGTGGTGCAGGCTGGAGGGGGCGGGCACCTGAATCTGGTTCTGCCCAGAGCCCCCAAGTTGTGCTGTTTCACCTCCCTCTCCGCTGAATAGCTCCACTTCCACCAGGGACCCCCCAGGGCCTCCAGGACTCCCCTAACCAACAAATGAGGCCTGCTTCATTAAAAAGACACTGGACACCACGAGAGGTTTGTCGTGGGCTCTGCTGACCAAGGCTATGGACGACTCATCCTGTCTGTCTCCTGCCTCAGCTCAGCAGGTTTCCTTGCCCGTGCCAGGGGGGCTCGCACCGTGATCGCTGTGCAGGGCAGCTCTGCCTTGTGCACTGGTAACCTCGTGCACTGTCTCGGTGCCCTTTTCAGCTGCAGGGGTCCTTGTGGGACCTCCTTCTTTTCTGGGGTGTTTGGGGCCTGGCTCTGCACAGACCTTCTTCTGGTAGTTTCCCTGCAGCTGCCCCAACCTTAGCTGGGTCTGCTGCCTCGTGAGAGACTTTTGAGCTGTGGACATCCGCACCACCGCCTGCATTTCCAGGGGAAGCGTCATGAATAACCATGGGCGTTGGCCCCACCCATTGCTCCATGAGGCCCTTATTTCATCCCGCCCCGTCTTGTGCCAGCTACCTTGTCCCAGTCCACCAATTTCAGCTTGGGCTCCATCGGAGGGTCTGTCTTCTGGCTGTTGACTGAGGCTACAGCCCCATTCTCCATGGAACCCTAGAGATACAGAAGATACAAGTAGATTACTACAGAGGGTGAGGGAAGAGGGTCCCAGAGGGGGTGCACCCCCCATAGTGGGGAATGGGGTGGTCAGAAGCCAGCAACACTGAGTGCACCTGAAAACAGGAATATGCTGATGTGGGTGGTACTATTCTCTGCACAAAAAGAGAGACAGAAAGATCTGGGACAGTAAAAAAACAACTGGCTGAGGGACCGTAGGAGAATGGCAGCTGTTAGTGGGAATGCCCTGCGCAAGGGTGTCCCTGCCAGCCTTCCCCCAGGTCCCTGGCATGGTACCTGATATGACGTCTCACCCACCTCAGTCCTTCCCTGGTAATTCAACAGAGTCTGTGGGCCCCAGGCTGGATCAGTAGGTCCACATGCCCACAAGAAAGGCAGCCCAGCGCAGGGGAGCTGTCCCTCCAGAAGCCCCCACTGTGGGTCAGCAGTCACACGTAGGGCAGCACTGACAGAGCAGTGTCCAAATAGGCTCAAGGTTAAACCTGACTAACAGCGAGGCAAAGCCAGGGGAAATGGAATGTACTGGGAAAGTCACAGAGCCCCGCCGGCGCTGACGTCTCCTGGCGTGAGGCTGGAAAGGGGAAGCTGGCATGTAGGTAAAACTCAAGATCCCCTGCAGGAAGGGTGGGGACAGCACTGCCCATGTGGGCAGGGGCTGCCCTCTGTGTCCCTGTGACACAGGGGACCATGGCGCCCTGGAGGGGAAGTGGAAGCTGGGCACTGGTGAGAGCAAGCGTGGACTGAGGAGCCAGCTGTGATTTCTACTGTTGCAATTCTTACATTTTTGCTTCCAAATGACCTACAGGAGCTGAGGGTGACCCTGTCCATGCTGGCATTTTCTGGGACAACCCTTTCATAACCCAACTTTTGTGCATCTGTCTTGGTAAGTATAACTCACTATATTTTTAGTCTTGGTCACCAGTCTGATCCTGGAATTAAAAAAAAAAAGCATCTTCGATGATATCTTCAGGACAAGAAGAGTGGATGTTATAGCATATCACAAAACAAAGCATCCTAAACAGTGAATATAAGTGGCAGCTAATAATTGTGTCCCTTCTAATTCTGTCACACCCTCAAACAATGCCAGCATGCCCTCAAATCTCTGAGCCATTGATTTCCCTTCCCTCCTGGAGAGGCATTTTCTCTTGGCCACCCAAGTATTTTCTTAAGTAAGATGATCTCATCGTTCTCTGCACCTCCCACTCACTGCAATTCCATTTGTCTCGCAACAGAACAAAAGGTCTATCTTGGGCCTCTGGTTTTGGTCTGTGGCGCCTTTTTCCGATACCCCTGACTGGCAGACACAGGTATGTTTTGGGTCCATCCACCCAAACAACCACCAGAAGCAAGAGAAAGGACCTCTTGGCTGTGGGTACCAAGCTCTCCTATAAGCCACCCATGCTTCTGCTCACCAAGGCTTGGCTGTCTCCTGGAAGCTGTGGTCTTTGCAGAGTCTTCCTTCTGCTCAGCTGTCTGCCTTAGTTTCCAGGGATCTTTCCCAGTTCTTCCACTTTAGGACTGGATAGCTTTTTCCTTGTCACCAGGAAGTTTATGCCCATAACTCCAGCAGCCAACACTGTCTGTTTTCCCCCAGGAGTCTTAGAATGCACCAGTCTCTAAGCATAATGGTTGTCCATGTTCCTCTTCCAAGGTGGGTGATGGAACCAGAGCAGAAGCCAGCAGTGCTCAGCCCCCTTCGTCTGCACATCCCAGTTCATGTCATGGGAAGCCCCCCTTGTCTGCCCATCCTCTGTGGCCCATTCACTTAGTTCAATGCCCCCCCCACCCCCAAAGCTTTTTCCCAGTCTGCTCTCACGGTGTGGCATGTGGTGTGGAGAGCTGGTGTGGTTCAGGGTGTGGTTTGGACCTATTGATCCGTTAACTGGAGGGCCACAAGGACCTGTGATGACAGCTGAGAAGCCTGGAGTAGTAATGAATGGGAGGCCATGGGTGGTGGGAAACAGAAAAAGCCTGGGCGATAAATCATCAAGGGAAATTTGCAGGGATGGGAGCCCCTGCTCCATATCAGCCTCTTCTTCCCTGACTGATGGTCTCAGAGCTGTGTCACCATGGCCCCCTTCCTATTCCCTCAATTCTAACCTCCTACTAGGGTCCCATCACTGCTTTCAACCACTCATCACTGGTGCGTGTGCACACACACTACACCACACACCCCCCTGAGTGTCCACAGTGTGCCAGAGCACCAGCTCAGAAGACTCTCTGACATCTCTCTGTGACACTGGTCTTTTTCTTACCCCAGGAGAATATCTCCAACTACCCACATCAAAGGCTGGCCCCAAAGTCCTGCTCTGACTTCCGACACCACTTTCTCAAACGTAAACATATTATTGTCCTCTGCAGATTGCCTTATCCTGACCTTCCTTTGTTCATTCATTCCAATTCTTGCAAATCTAAGTGTGAAATCAAAACTATATTTTATTGGTAGGAGCCCTTGTTTCTCCAACTGAAGACAGCTAGCATCATCCCAGGAAATCTATCTCAATTTCCCTGCACTGATTTTTTTTCTATGCTCAGAACTTCTCTACATTTAAAGTCAATCCCACATATTTCCATACTCCTCTCCTGCCGTGCCCTTGGATTAACCCTCATTTCCCCCTCTAGTTATCAGGGGTGACCTGTCATTTCTAATGCCAGGGTGTGGTGTGGAGAGCTGCTGTGGTTCAGGTGGTTTGGACCTGTTGGTCTGTACATTGCAGGCCACAAGGACGTGGGACAAAGGCTGGCATTTTCCTTCTTCAATGTCACTCTGTCCAGGATGATGACAGAGATGAACTTTCATGAACCCTCACTATGTGCCCAGCCCTTTAGTCTTCATAACTGTAGCAAGTGGGCATGGTTATTATTCCCAAGTGCTAGATAAGGGCACCTAGGCATGAAGCAGACACACAGCTAGAAAGGGGTGGAGCCAGCAGTTAGACTCTGGAATATTCTCTTAACCACACATACTTCTTCCCTAGCCATTCCAGCCAGAAATGAGCCCTTCATTATCCAACTGTCTAAAAATCATATTTCCCCCATGTCCCACTGCCTCAGTTCGTATTTATCATTTCCTGCCTCTTGTTTCTACACATTCTGTAATTTTCCAGTCCAGTGGTGGTAGATTGCAACAGGTTGGGAAACTATAGTTTCAGATCTCAGGCTGTCTAGGATGGGCTCTTCCAAACACTAGATGTTCCACTCATATTTCCTCAGTGGCAACGTTTCAGTGCTGGGTGTTTGCAAAACAGTCAAGGTTCCCTGAGACACCTGCTGAGGGGAAGCTTGGCTGCTGTGGTAGGGCTATGCAGGGCTCATGTGCCTTGGAATCTAAACAAACAGGGTGGACACATCTGCTTAAAGCAGAGAGGTGGCCCAGGACACTGGCCACAACATCTTAAAATGCCACACTGGGAAGGATGAGACGGTAAACATACACAGGCGTCAAAACTCCAGTATTCTAGACCATATGTTATCAGTGCCCTTTGGTCGAGTATATAGGACAGGGGTGAGCAGCACTAAAAGTCCCCTAAGTTGATAGGAGATTGCCAACATTTTATTTTGTCAGATAAAAGTATTCTTTCCAATTACCATCAGCAACTTTTCCTAAGTGAAAGGACATTTCAATACCAAATAAGTATGGCATGAACATGTTTGGAGGGAAAACAAAGGGCAAACCTTTCCAAGGAAGGGCATTTGGCAACTTTCCACTGACATTTAAAAAATAAGTTCTATTTAAAAATATTTTCTGGACCTCCCTGGTGGCACAAAGGGTTAAGCACTGCACTATGAAGCAATCTGCAGCCTCTGCAGCACGAGTTCGATCCCCGGCCAGCCAGGGAGCAACCCATATGGCGCAGCAGATCTCTTCTGACACGCCCGCTGCTCCCCTCAGCAGTGTATGTCAATCAATCTGTCTGTTCTGTTCCCCACTCTGTCTCTGGTGAATCCTCCCACCCCATCTCTGGCCTGCACCCCAGCTCTTGTATGCATAAATAAATAAATCTTTAAAAAAATAAATTAAAAAAAAATTACTCATGCAGGCAGACTCAGACAGCCTCTCCTGTCTCACATCTCGCCTGCTGCTCCTCTCAACAGTGTATTTCAATAAATCCCCCTTTCTGTTCTCAAAAAACAATTATAAATGCAGAGAAATGTTAACCTAAAATTTTGTTTTGAGAGCAATAATTTGACATAATTGTTTTCTTGTTTCAGAGGGTCCTATGTTTTAATGTTTTACTTGAAAAACAGACACTGAAAATTCAGTTTCACAGAGAGATGTTGGCTAACAGTGGATATTCCAGGTGAAATGTTCCAGGTGAAATGTGGGGAGTGGCCCTGGAGGAAAGGGAGTGGCTCCTGCCCGGGGCCTGGCTCACCGCTGGCACTCCCAGCACGAGGGGTCAGGGACTCTCACAGACATCTGTGGCTCTTGATGTACATGGACCGGGGAGGAAACGAAAGGTTCCCCTTCAGAGTATCAAAAAGATATCTGGGGCCTCCCTGGTGGTGCAGCGGTTGAGCGCTGGGTCGCGAAGCTGCCCGCAGCCTCTGCAGCACCAGTTCGATCCCCAGCCGCCGGGCGAGGGTCCCACATGGCACGCAGACCTCTCCTGCCGCCCGCTGCTCCCCTCAGCAGTGTACTTCGTCAGTCTGCCTTTTCTACTCTCCGCTCTGGCTCTGGTGAATTCTCTCACCCTCCCGCACCTCTGACTGTACCCAGTGCTTATATAAATAAATAAATAAATCTTAAAAAAAAAAAAGATATCTGCTTCCCCATATTCACGCAGCACTTTTTACAGTAGCCATGATTTGGAAACAACCTAAGAGCCCAAGTGCATGCATATACGTGTATGTAAACATAGAATGCTACTTTGCTATGAAAAAAGATGAAATCTTGCCAACAGCAATAACATGGAAGTACTCTGAGAATATTATGCTAAATCAAATATTATGCTAAGTCATATGGAGAAAGACAT